TCAGAATATAATATCTGGAATCAGTTTCGTTCTAAACCAGTTCAATAAAGAACGGTGTATAATAATGCCAATAGCTTCATAGCATAATATGAAAAATAAAATCGAAGAGAAAGCTCATTTTAGACGCGACAATTCTTTGAAAACATACTTGACGAAAGAACTATAGAGACGATAAAGTAAAGTTCAAATAAAATATGTTTAAAATAACAAAGAAATAAAGTAACATTCAAATTTTTCATCGAATTTTAATTCTCTGTTCAACCCTAGCAGCAAATTTCATTAACAGAGAGCAGAGTAAAATGACAAGGGTAAAATGACAAGGATGAAATAACAAGGGTAAAATGATAAGGGTAAAATAACAAAGGTAAAATTACACGGGTGAAATAACAACGGTAAAATAAGAAGGGTAAAATGACAAGGGTGAAATAAGGAGGGTAAAATAACAGTGGTAAAATGAAAAGGGTGAAATACCAAGGGTAAAATAACGAAGGTGAAATAACAAGGGTAAAATAACAAGGGTAAAATGACAAGGGTAAAATAACAAGGGTAAGATTACAAGGGTGAAATAACAAGGGAAACATAACGAGGGTAAAATAACAAGGGTGAAATAACAAGGGTAAAATAACAAGGGTAAAATGACAAGGTTGAAATAACAAGGTGAAATAACAAGGGTAAAATAACAAGAGTAAAATAACAAGGGTAAAATGACAAGGGTAAAATGACAAGGGTAAAATGACAAGGGTGAAATAACAAGGGAAGAAAGACAAGGTTAAATAACAAGGGTAAAATGACAAGGGTGAAATAACAAGGGTAAAATAACAAGGAAAAATAACGAGGGAAAAATGACAAAAATAACAATGGTAAAATAACGAGGGAAAAATGACAAGGGTGAAATAACAAGAGTAAAATAACAAGGCTAAACTGACAAAGATGAAATAACAAGGGTACAATAACAAGGGTAAAATGACAACGGTGAATTGACATGGGTGAAATAACAAGGGTAAAGTAACAAGGGTAAAATGACAAGGGTAAAATAACAAGGGTAAAATGATAATGGAAAATAACAATGATAAAATGACAAGAAGAAATAACAAGGGTAAATAACAAGGGTAAAATGTCAAGGGTGAAATAACAAAGGAAAGATAACAATGGTAAAGTAACAAGAGTGGCATAACAAGGTTTAAAATGACAAGGGTAAAATGACAAGGGTGAAATAGCAAAGATAAAATAACAAGGAAAAATAACAAGGATACAATGACAATGGTAAAGTAACGAGGGAAAGTGACAAGAGTGAAATAACAACGGTAAGACAACAAGGGTAAAATGACAAGGGTAAAATGACAAGGTGAAAACAAGAGTAAAATAACAAAGGAAAATGATAAATAACAATGGTAAAGATTAAAACAACAAGTGGGACAAGGGTGAAATAACAAGGGTAAAATGACAAGGGTAAAATGACATGGGTGAAATATCAAGGGTAATTTAACAAGGTTAAAATAACAAAGATAAAATAACAAGGAAAAATAACAAACGAAATACAAAAATGACAATGGAAATAAAGGGTAACGAGGGAAATGTGAAGAAAATGACAAGGTGAAATAACAAGGGTAAAATAACAAGGGTAAAATGACAAGTGTAAAATAATGACGGTAAATTGACAAGGGTGAATTAACAAGGGTAAATAACAAGGGTAAAATGACAAGGGTAAAATATCAAGGGTAAAATGACAAAGGTAAAATAGCCAGGGTAAAATAACATGAGTGAAATAATAAGTGTAAAATAACAAGGGTAAAATGGCAAGGGTAAAATATCTAGGGTAAGTGAAATAGCAAGGGTAAAATACAAGTGTAAAATGTCAGTGGTAAAATAACAAAGGTAAAATAACGAAGGTAAAATAACAAGAGTAAAATAACAAGAGTAAAATAACAAGTGTAAAATAACAAGGGTAAAATAACAAGGGTAAAATGACAAGGGTGAAATAATAAGGGTAAAATAACAAGGGTAAAATGAAAATGGTAATATAACAAGGGTAAATGACAAGGGTGAAATAATAAGGGTAAAATAACGAGGGTAAAATGACAAGGGTAAAAAAATCATACTGGATTTGCTTCTTATCTTGTACAAGGAAGTAGAATTCTTAAAAACATTCTTATAATATTAAGGGTTACAATTTGTATCACGTAGATAGGAAGTGATTACAGCCGCCATGTTGGATGTTTCTAGTTGTGAACCAATAAATCTCTTCGAATTCTAGAGTTTCAAAACTCGGAAAATATCGAGTACCTTATTTTTTACAACAGACATTTTTCTTGTCGCACAATTTATATTGCTCTACTCTGTTTGCAAAATTGAGATGACCCATATTTTCAAGAAAGTTGGTAAAAACTAAAAAAATCAACATATCCACTTCCTCCTGACGGGATAAATGTTGCACAAGCATAGGACAAATGGTTTCAAAATAACAAGGTGTGACTTTTTTTACCCCAACAATGTTGTAAGTTTATCACGTTATTTTTTCTTTCAAATAACAATTTAAAATATGATCAGCAATACATTCCCCAAGGTGTTCACTCTATTAAATATTATAAATGGTTTGAAGACGACCAGAACCTAAACATTTAATGAGAACATATTCCCAGAGTCGATTTCCTTCCAATATATTCAACAGACAAATCACTCGGTGAACAAAGGTTCACTGGTAGCAATTCATTAAATGCGCAAACATCTAAGAGATAAGAATGAGTGTCAAAAAAAAATGTTATACCTTTACTAAGTGCAGAAGACTGTGAAATCATCCATTATCACTTTTCATTGCAGAGAAAAGACCCTGAACATCAGTCATCAACATTTTGCCGTGGGTTCATGGCCAGTTTCTGCATTTAATAAAACGAATACATTTTTTTTCTGTTTCTCAATCAAGCACTTCATCTATTTTGTTTTTAATCTATTATATTTAAGACCCGTCGCGGCACGTCAAATCACGCTAAAAAGAATTGTTCTCGTTCGATCCCCGAAGTTAAACAGCGTCGTACCTGGTCACTACTTAGATGGGAAACCGCTTGGGAACACCCGATATCTCGCTTAAAAGAGCCAGCTAAAATATAGAACTATGTGTTTATATTTTCAAAGCGTTTTATTCAATAAAAATATGTGATTTTAAACGAAACTGATCTTAATAATGTGACAAAATAGACACAAATTTCAGTACATATGGATGAATAAATCGTTATTTAAAACGTTATATAAGCATACTGCCGGCTGCGATAAGATGCAAATTTGAAGGCTACAATTGTATAGTTTTCCTACTTTACTGAGACTGTAATGGGAGAGAACTACGGTGGAAAGGTTTATTCTCCCATTTGTATTTCCACCATTATGAACATTATTTTAGCCATGATGTAATACCGTAGTTCACAGACAGAACGGAATGGCTGAAAGAAAAGGAATAACAAATATATTTTGTTCTTGGAGAGACTTTTATACCACTAAGACATACAAAAACTATATATACATAAATACTCAAGACTCATGCAGAGAAAATATATATCACATATATCTACAAAGCAAAGCAGAGTGTAAGGAGAAACAAAAAGGAAGGGCTTTACGTATAATATGGAGATACTCCTGTATCTGGAGAAAGAATGTTTAGAATTCCAGATTCAAACGGGCTGGATTCATCTATATCCCAGGCGAGGATATATTCCACGAATGGCAAACAGAGGGTCTTGGTCTTTAGCAAATTAAGGACTGCAAGCTGGTGTTTCATTCTATATCTGAGTAAGATATATTCCCAAAGGGAAACGGCACCATGAACTTGTAAGCTGCTTTGCAGATTTAGCCTTTGCCCGGGCCAAGGGGGTTGGGACTGGTCTAAAGAAAGCAGCCTTTCGGTGTGGCTGCTGTAAACAAAACTGAATATGACAGGAGCTATCGTCACTATATGGAGTGACGTCATTAAGCGACTGTCACGTGACCTACGTGACTTATCGCCGCCATAGGGAGATAATTGCCTTTGTATTCAAACAAGGTTAGAGCCAACCCCCGTTTGAGATTATGCTGGAGGCAAATAGAACATTAATGTCAACATTGAAGACATTTGGTTGGTTTAAATTTATAAAAGAGTAAAACATTTACCAGTCTTCACTCAAGCAATATTTATCGAAGACAAAGAGTTGTTCTTTTACTTAAAGTGACACTTTGCAAAACTCTTATACGAGTGCAATATGGTCTAATATGGTCCAGCAAACATTTTACAATGAATAACCTACTGTGATTTTCAACCACCTTCCCTAAACAGATTAAAAGTTACAGTTACAGATACAACGTTTCAGATTAACTTTTCTTTACCTAAACAAGAATTTGGATTTTAAAATTAGGATAGAATTTTGGGAAAATGTTTAATTCGTGATTTGAAAATGCCTAGAGCTTGAAAAAAACAGACGGTAAGCGTTTCAGTGGACGTTGTGTCATTTTATACCATTAACCTCCTACTCAAAATAGATAGATAGATATAAACAGGCTGATAGATATGGACGGAATGAGATAGATAGATAGATAAATAGATAGATAGATATTAACAGACTGATATAGATATGAACAGAATGAGTGAGAAAGATAGATAGATAGATAGATAGATAGATAGATAGATAGATAGATAGATAGATAGATAGTGATGCACATAGCGAGATGTAGGATAGTTAAAGATTATGACAGAATGTTAATAAATGGTTATTTTTTTTTTTTCATCTGAACATATCTCGAACTTTTTATCGAAGTTTCTTCATAAAAGACCAGCAGAAATTTCAGTGAATTTTGTGACTTTTTATCCCACGTTCTCTTATATAAGCCGATGTTGTTTTCATTGATGATTAATGGTCGTTGGATATTTTTCGAATTGCAACTTGGTAATTAGGTTTTGGAAAACAAACTAACAATGAAGAGTCTATTTAATTTCTTGGTTCTCCATTCAGTGTCTGGACTCAGCTGGCCAAAACGTTACGTCAATACAAATAATCATAATCGTTCATTTTTTTCCGTTTCAGTCGATGAAATCCAATCACAGCTACCTTATTTACAAGAAAGAAAGAAAGACTCCAGATAAAGAAAGAAAGGAAAAAAGGAAAAAAAGAAAGAAAGAAAGAAAGAAAGACTCCAGATAAAGAAAGAAAGGAAAAAAGGAAAGAAAGAAAGAAAGAAAGAAAGACTCCAGATAAAGAAAGAAAGAAAGAAAGAAAGACACCAGATAAAGAAAGAAAGGAAAAAAGGAAAGAAAGAAATACTCGAAAGAAAGGAAGAAAAGAAAAAGGAAAAAAAAAGAAACTCTCTAAAGAAAGGAAAAAGAAAGGAAAAGAAAAAGAAAGAAAAAGAAAGACACCAGATAAAGAAAGAAAGGAAAAAAGGAAAGAAAGAAATACTCGAAAGAAAGAAAGAAAGACTCCAGATAAAGAAAGATAGAAAAAAAAGAATGAAAGAAATAAGACTAGATAAAGAAAAAAAAAAGAAAAATACTCTAAAGAAAGGAAAAAAAAGAAAGGAAAGATGGAAAAAAAATGAAAAAAATAATCTAGATAAAGAAACAAACAAAAAAAGAAATAAAGGTAGAAATAAATAAAAAAAAATGACTCTAAATAAAAAAAATTCAATAATCTAGATAAAGAAAGGAAAAAAGGTAAAATAAATAAAAAATACTTCAGATAGAGAAAGAAAGGGAAAAGAAAGAAATACTCTAGGTAAAGAAGGAAAGAAATACTCTAGATAAAGAAACAAAGGAAAAAATAAATAAATACTTCAAATAAATAAAGAAAGGAACAAGAAAGAAAAACTCCTGATAAAACAAAGTAAAAAACAAAAAAGAAAAACGGAAAAATACTGACGAAAAAGAAAGACCCCAGATGAAGAAAAAAAAAGGAAAGATCGAATATAATAAACGTTGTGTAAAAAGAGAATCAGAACAAAATGGCAAAAAAAACAGATGACAAGAAAAGAAGGAAGAAAAATATCTGCAAAAAGTAAAGAAAAGAAAGAAATCAAAAAAAAAAAAAGAGAAAAAGAGAGAAAATGAGTGAAAGAATGAAAGTTCTTTTATACTTAATGCTCGGGTTACTGACAACGGATAGAGAAGCATATTTCAATTTTTTTATTCTAATAAGAAAAAAAGATAATAAAACAAGGAAGCCTGTCATCGAAAGAGAAGCGCGTTTTATTCCCCTAATATCCATTATTTTTGCAACTCGCTGTTTTTTTAGGAATTAATATTGTCGGTTTAGTAAATGGCAATATAGCAGGAATGGTATGCAATTTTACAAAAAGGCATGAGCGACGTTACTTCATAATGACCTACTTATTGGCTAATTTCATACAAGAAAAACAACAGAAGAAAAGTTCACCTGAAGTAAGAATAAAAGAGAGAAAGAGAAAATTTCAAAAAATGATGAATATATATATATATATATATATATATATATATATATATATATATATATATATATCATCATCAGGCCGAAAAGCTCAACATTCCATGACATACTGCCTCCATCAATTCTTGTCATTCATTGCATTTGGAAACTCATCCAGTCTGTACCCCGTGTCTTCAATAATATGGTCAATTTACATCTTCTTTGGTTTACTTTGTGTTTTTGTTTCCATGGGATAGTATCCAGAGTAGAACGTTTCCAGCTAGTTCTTCTTTCCTACGCCAACAGTAACCAGCAAATCTTAGCCTTCGTTGGCGTATTAATTTGTTGATGGGTGGAGGTTAAATTGCCATAGAGCTCTTTCTTTGTTGGGTGATCTTTCCAAAATTTGTTTCGTGCTGCTCGAAGCATTCGTGTGTAAGCACCATTTAAACCTCTTTACAAGTTTGGCTGTCAGTGTTCAGGTTAAAGAGCCATATACAAGGACGGACTCTAATGTAGCTCTCAAAAAGTTTCTCTTCAGTTTATCCGGTAGATTTGATTTCCAAATTTTGTTCATTTTATTTAATATATATATATATATATATATATATATATAGTTAATGATGTGTTTGGTAATCTGTATGGATAATTCCAAGGAGAATATAATCCAGAGAGCTCAATGTAAAAACAGAGCAAATTATTAAGCAACAAACAACTTTAAGGATTCATGATGATTATAATTTATTTCCTTAGGATCGAAATTCGATCCTAATTCCTCAAATCGAAAATTTTCATTAAAAAAAAATGGTCGATCTGAGGAATTAGGATCGAAATTCGATACTACGGAAATAAATTATAATCATCATCAATCCTAAAGTTTATTATTATATATATATATATATATATATATATATATATATATATATATATATATATATATATATATATACAAGTATATAATTGGATATACGGAATGAATTCCCATAACCAACAATTACTATTCTTAAAAGGGTGCTCAATACAAAAAGTAGAGCAGATATAATTATTTTTATAAAAAATTATAACATAAGTATGTTATAAAAATCACTACAAAAATAGCTATGTTGAAACAAAATGGCTATTTTTGTAGTGATTTATAACATACTTATAATTTTTTATAAAAAATTATATATATATATATATATATATATATATATATATATATATTTTATATATATAAAAAATACAAAAATATGCAGAAATAAATGATATTTTAAAGAAAGCAATTAATTAAAAAAGGGAAGAAAGAACCTGAAAAAATAATTAAAAATACAAAAAAAATACAAAAACAAAAAATAGAGAAAAATAGGCGAAAGAAAAAAAAGAAAAAATGATTAAAAAAAAAACAAAAGAAAAGAAAGAAAGGAAGAAACGAAAGGAAAGGAAAGAATAAAAAAGAAAAAGAAAGATTGAAAGAAAGAAAGAATGAAAGAAGAAAAACAGTAAAGAAATCAATTAACATAAAGTAAAAAAAAAAAAAAAAAAGGAAAGAAAGAATGAAAGAAGAAAAACCGTATTAAAAAACGAAATGAAAGAGAAACAAAGCAAGGAAAATGAAAAGAAAAAGCGAAAGAAATATATGCAGTAATAAAGAAGAAAAACAGTTAAAGAAATTAAAGCAAGGACGAAATAAAGCGAGAAACGAAAGAAAAGGAGGAAAAAGATAGACAAAAGCAAAACAAAAAAAAAAAAAAAGAAAAAAGAAAAAGAAAGAAAGAAAGAAAAGAAAGAAAAATAACCAAAAACTAACAAAAAAGAATAAATATAAAAAAGAAAATGTTATTGGTAGACAAAAAAGGAACAAAAAGACCTGAGAAAAAGAAAGAAAAAAAGAAACGAAAGGAAGGAAAAACAGCGAAAGCAACCAAAAAAAATGAAGAAAGGAAAGCAATGAAAAGGAATGAAGATAAAAAAAGCAAAAGAAAGAAAGAAAGAAAAAAGAAAAGAAGGAAAACATTGAAAAAGAAAAAGGAAAAACGAAAGGAAGAAACGAAAGAAAAATGAAATAGAAACAAGAAAAGAAAAAAGGAAAGGAAGAAAAAATAACCAACTAAACTAACAAAAAAAGAATAAATATAAAAAAGAAAATGTTATTGGTAGACAAGAAAAGGAACAAAAAAGACCCGAGAAAAAGAAAGAAAAAAGAAAAAGAAAGAAAAAGAAAGAAAAAAGAAAAAGAAAGAAAAAGGAAAAAGAAGGAAAATAGGAAATAGAGAAAATATACGTATGGAAAAAGAAGAAGATGGAAGTAGAAAAAAATAAAAAAAAAAAGATAAATCAAAGAAGATAAAGGAAGGAAGGAAGGAAGGAAGGAAGGAAGGAAGGAAGGAAGGAAGGACAAAAGAAGTCGGTGGCTAAAGTACGATAACCCGGTCGATAAAAATTCAATCACTCAGCACCTGACTACAGAAATATCAGGCAATGCCCCCATCAGAGCATTCAAAGGAGAAAAAAAAATATGTTCTCATCGAACTGCCAGCAAAACAAGGAAATGTCCTCCTATGTAGCGTCAAAACAAATTAAATCCTACTTTGAAACCATTAGATGGAAACCCAGGTAGAAGATTCCAAAGTAAAACTGTCCCGTCTGTCAGGTGTGTCACTATCTATCATATGACACATTTGATTATCACAAGACAGAGAGATTCGAAAAGTCTTTAAAATTTAACGAATAAATCTTCTGTCACATCTTCGGTGTTCAACCAAACACAAAAGTTGGAACTGGAAACAGGTTTGAGAAAATGAAACGATAGTTTCAGATGATATTTACGTTCGGTTGAGAGAAGAACGGGATTTTTTTTATTTCCTTTATCAAGAATTGCAAGATTTCAGTGTAAAAACAAAACCAACAAAAAAAGTATAACTGTAATAGCAGACACGATAGAGTAGGAAGTATAATACATTAGGAACTGTGCAAATGACATATAAACAAATGCTATCAGCATTAACCAGAGAATGAAAATAAAAAGACTAAAATATTCTGAGATCTAAGATCCAGACCACTAAGTCACAAGGTGTTACTAATGAGAGTGAATGAAAAGACTTTAGAAAGGACAATAAAAGAACAGGATTCAAAATAACAGATGACGATTTGCATTTAATGTTTTGAAGATTGTAGGTGTCAGGAAAGTAAGAAATAGGAAGAAAGTTCTACAGGTGACAAAATAATCAGAATAGAACTTTTGGTTACATCTAGCGACTTTACCATTTAAACGCTGAGGTCTAGTTGCCATTCTAGCAGTACGCTTAAAGTTGCGGGAGGCGGGGAGAACTTATTAGAACTACAAACATGAAAAGTGGATATTGAAGTCAACACAAAGCGCTTACTGTCTGTTTCATGCTTAAATGCATCCTTCAGACGATGATGATTGCATTATTAGCATGAAACAGACTGTCACCACTTGGAGTTGATTTCAATCTTCACTTTTATATTTACATACGCTCTATCTCTGATATTGAGCACTTTAACACATAATTATAGCATACCATAAAAGTACATTTTTTTCATATATATACACCAACAGCTTGCCATACTTAAGACTTCTCGTTTCACTCTCGCGTGGTTATGTGTGATGTCATGGGCCACGGTGCGATTTTCGATACCAGCGTCTCGTATGCACGAATTTTTCGTTACTTGGAAATCTTCCAAGCAAACAAAACAGACTATCATTGTTGCTATGTCAGTGTATCGTTTAATTTATTGTAATTTAATTGTCATCTTTGATGATGGCTTATGTAAGCCGAAAGCTTAAATCGGATTAAAGAACATGTATCAAGATGGTAATTTTCTTTCGTCTTTCAATGATAATGTCATTAAGCTTATCAGACGATATGAAAGGAATTTGCTTAAAATAAACAGAAAAAACTTGTCTATATTATTTAATGAAACATGCATTAATATATATATATATATATATATATATATATATATATATATATATATATATATATATAATTTATGGATTTATTTTTAATTTGGCATATTTATTACTTCAAAGGTTGGATACCATTAGTGCACAATACGATAGACGTAATACATACTGTTTAAAACGGGGAGTCTATTTCAAACACGGGCATCAATTAAAATCAACGTTTGAAGTAATATAAATGTGTGCGTGAATTTCTTGATGAGTACTTATCATAATCTACATTAATTAAACGTTGTCATAACAAGAAGTCAGAATGTAAATGTCTGCGCATGCGTTTCTGTTCTTATATTATATATATATATATATATATATATATATATATATATATATATATATATATATATAATAGGCATCCATATTGCAAGGTATATAATATTTGCTTTTTGAACATTGAAATTAATGTCTACTGGCCTAAGCAGCAGGACGTCTCATTAAAGAAACTCTGTACCACTCGACGGGGATCCAACCTGCATTCCTAGTTCCACGTGCCATGTTTAATGGGTGTCAGTTATCAGTTATCTCCTGTTAATTTTACCTCTGAAAGTTCTCCACTGCCGGGTATTGAACTCACAATCTTTGGGCCCTGTCACTGGATCTAACTAACGCCTTTATCCACTGTGCCATGTGTCCTCGAGGACACGTGGAACTAGAACAGTCTACTCCAGTGAGCGAAATAAAGGGTTCAGTTCGACATTCCAACCAACTGAAGAAGGCCGGAGCGTACAACGGCCGAAACGTTGTAATAAATATGGCGACAAACAT